GTCTACTCTTGTTTATATCAACCCATTTGGATTGGTTTTAAATTATGTTGATAGTAATATTAACGAGAGATTATATTAAAGTTGATATATATGAGGAAATTTTAATATATAAAAATTTATAAAAATTTGATTTATGGCTTAGGTTGATATTAATGAGGTTGATATTAACGGGGGTCGATTGTATTACTGAGTTTTAAACTAATTTTAATAATTTTACTACTGTTAAAATTACAAGAACTACTCTACAAATTAAAAGCTCAAAAAATATTTAATTAGTAAAAATTTTTGTAATTGAAATTACAAAAAAAACATACCATCAAGTTATATATAATTTTAAAATTTTACACCCTACCTTTAAAATATAAAATAGTTAAAAGAATCTTAATAAAAATTATTAACAAGACTGTCAAAATGTAAAAAAAAACCCTCAATAAAACTTTTCTGTACTTATAATTTCTAATAAATTATATATAAAAATATAAAATTTAATACAAGTATAGTACATTGCATATAGAGATCATATTATATTTTTGAACAAATTAAATAGTAAAAATATCTATGCTACTTATATGTATACAAATTTTTAATCTAAAAAATACTTTTTTTATATAAATGATATAAAATTTCTTTTTAACTATTTATTCAAAGAACCCAAGCTCTCATTATGTAAAACAATAAAGCAAATTAGAGTTAAAGCTAATTTTAATTTCGAAAGTAATATGGTTTTTATTTGTATTATAATTATTTAACTACAGTACATTAAATTATATAAATGAATAATTTATTAGATAAAAGAAGCACTTATGGTTTTTAACAATAGTTGCTTTATATAGATTGAGTTTTGAAAAATAAAACGAGTTTATCAGAAATAAAATCTTGTAGTAATATAATAGAGCTCGTATTATTATATAGATTTAGTAATACGTATAAATATTATTCGTACATATAAGAAATTGTTTTAACAGAATATCGGATTTTCACTTAAATATTTTTAAACGCACGGGATAAAACAGCCTTTTGTTACCTCTATGTGTAATTGCACTTATAATATCTTTAATGAGACATGTATTTTCTTAAAGATTTAATGGGTGCATTACATTATACTATTGTGATAAGTAATCATTCGCGTGTTTAGAATAATTTTTTCTAAAAACTCTTAAAAGAGTACTATTTGCATTATAGACTTTTGTTATTCACACTATAGATGTATGCACATAACCTCAAATTGATATAATTGAGATAATCTATATCCATTCATGCAAAAATCTATGTGCGAATAGTAGTATCCTTAAAAGAAATAATAATCAATGTTCGAGTTAATAATCGTTTAGTCAGCCTTCTGTAAACCAAAGGTAGAGTTTAGGATCAACGTATTATTACACAGTTAAATCTGGTTTAACATATGTTAAAAATAAAACCGTTTCGAACTATCATTAAAGAAAATTTACCAATTTGAATCAGTGTCAACTGTTTGATTAGTATAATTGACACCATAATTAGAATAATTCTAGACTAAAGCTATTGAATATTGTGATTATATAGCGCTTAGTTAAAATGTAATCATGCCTCTTTCATGTATATGACTTCCGCCTATTATGATTTTATAGATTTTTTGGGGGGATATAAAATAAACATATTTCAGCTCAAATGTAGAATATGAATCATATTTTGTATAACAGATATATGATTGTAAGTATTATGTATCACAAGTTCGAAAACGAATCGACATCAAAATTTTTTAAGAAATTCATTTGTACAGTAAAGTTTCTTTATTATACCATATTACCTCGAAATAACGCCCCGGGGTGTAGGTTAAAATTTTGGCCCGAATTAAGCTCAATTCGGGTCAAATTTTTAACCTACACCCCGGAGCGTTATTTAGAGGCAATACGGTAATGATCCCACTATATTATAATAAAGAGAACAATTTAATAAAATCAAATATTAAATATATATATATTTTTTTTAACATTTGCAATCTTTGAGAATAAACTGTTAAAAAAAGATAATAAGTATTGCACCGCTAATATAATATTAATCATTAAATAATCGAGAAATCTCACCTAACAGATAAAGCCAAATTTTTTCTATTATATTTGAATAAACTTTGACTAGTAGATTTTTAAATACTCATTCGAGTTTATTTTGATGACTAGATTTAGTTAAGCATTGTCTTTTTTCTTTTTTTTTTTTTTTTTTTTTATTACAAGAAATGGGGACATCTCATCTCGTCCCCAATACACTTTTAGTCTAAATATTATAACGTTCATATTTGGGCTAGCAATACCTGATACCGCAAAATGTTTGAATGTTTAATATTTTTCCGCCACTTCAATGGTTCCTTCAACCCAAAAAAATTTTTTTAGGGTTCACGCACTGAAACCAGTAAGCGAAACCAGCTAATGGTCCACAGCATGTTCCGGTTGGCACCGGAAGATCTAAATCAACGTCAAAATAATCGAAAAGTCTTGGATCAAGAAATTTGCCAAGCTTTTCTTCGATATTTAACTTTGCTGCTAATGTTTGTGCTTCTTCCAAAGTAATCCTATTATGTACATGCAAGCATCGTTAATTGCTTTCTAATGCACCTATAATAGGCCTTTTAACGAAATTGATATTGAAACATACCATCTTTTATCTGTGGATCGAGGCTTACGCTCACCGACTTGTATTAAAGAAAATTTGTCAACACAATTCGTATCAACGCGGCGTAATATTTGAACTTCGGTTTCTCCAACCTTAATCTTTGTGGAAAAAACCTCTAAGCCATTTATCTTGATCATACGAATATCAGGCGAAAGCGGAACTCGAGGTGAACTCAGATTTCGTGGTCTACGGGGTGGCAATATGTAATGCGGGAACGTAAGATAAACGGGAGTTGGTCTAGGTAAACACTGTGACACTAAATCATGTCTCTCTCCATTTTCGGCTCTTCTTTTCTTCCCACTTAAAATATTAGTTACACTCGTACTTGGTTCAGTAGCACCTTCAAGCAACTTATCACTTGAAGAACTTTCTACAGCAGTTGAAGTAACATCCATTTCAACATTAGCTGCTTCTTGTTGTATCGCCAAAGTCACCTGTTTTGTAAATGATTCAAAATTTTCATTTTCGTTCGTAAATCGGAATTCATTTTTTGAATGCTTTTCAAAATTTTCATATTGTAACTTTTCTTTTGCTGAAGGTATATCTGTTCCAATTTGTATATGAGTTTCTTCTATTAATTGACATGGTGACTCTACAGACATTTGGTTCTCGGTAACTGATGCGGATTCATATGATGATCGTGGAGTACCCTCCCTCGATGAGGGCGGTGAAATGGGTCGTTGAGGATGCCGTGAGATAGAAGTTTCACTGAATGGGAAATAACGAGAAAGATGTTCTCGCAAAATATCATCAGGGTCTAATAAATAGTAAAGTAATCTTTTTGTCATCGTAGGATGAGACACCTTTCCAAGAACCGGACGGGGTACTAATTGCTTTCTTACACGAGTAAAATGGGTCGATATATGACCAGAAACTGTAGCATACGGAGTATTACCACTAAAAGTTTCAAAAATTAAAAAATATAACCGGATCACATAATATAAAATCGAATCGAAAAGAAAGTTACCCTAACGTCGTGAACCCATGCTTTTGAATACATGCCGCAAGTTGTCTGGGATTGGTTGGTTCATTATTTAGTGAAATCAGTGCTTTGATAATTGCAACAAAAGTTCGATCCGAAGCATCCAACGGGTGTAATGTAGGTTGTATTTTTGAATATATTTCTTCGACTATTTGAATAATTGTACGTTTATCTTGTAACGATACACTCTGCATAAGACTTTAAGAAAAAGGGTAGATGATAATAAATTAACAATGAAGACGAAATGTTTTTTAATATAGTTGATTATAATTTAATAATGTAAAAACAGCAGAATTGACAAGAAAAAAAAAAAATAAAAAAAATAAGACTGAAAAGTCAAAAAAGTCGGTTTTAGCCGTATTGTTTGTGGCTACTTTATAACCTGATGGATATGATCGGCATGAGTCATTTCAATTATGCGATCTATGTTGTAATACTGCGGTAAATTCTACAAAGTTGAAAAGGTAATAATGATGTAAATATACGTGGCAAATGGGGACGAGTAACGTGACTTCTCACAAGCCCGTAAAAATGATCAAAAATTTCTAAACAGAATGGATTGATCACAAGTAGTTTAACTTGATGTATCTGGTATCAAAAAATATGCAATTAAAAGACTGGTTTCGTTATAAATACTCTTTGAACTTTACCAATCCAAACCTCCACTTGCGATTGATTTTTATTGTGTACTTTGTTTGGACTGAGATATTTTTCAAATGTATTTTAATATATATCAATATATAGTATTGTTAATTTATGTTATTAAAGATCCTAAATTTAGATCATGATTATAACTAAGCTTAATTCAACTTTAATGTTTTTTGTCCTATGTATAAAAAGTTCATTATTTGAGGTCTTAAAAAAAAACTTATCGACACTATTATTAATTTCTTAATATATATATTTAAAAAAAAAGGTAGATAACGATAAGTAATTAAAATTTTTAATTCACTTTATATAACGATAATAACTCCCGTGATCTAATATCTCATTAATTCGGTAATTATAAATATATAAGATATATATTTTAATAAAAATCAGATTACAGAATGACTAACGCTAATTTGGATTTCGTTTGCGAGATTTCCATTGCGAAATTATTTTTAAATTACATGGTTCCAAATATCAGCTCTAAGACGCAAATTCGAGCCTATCATTTCGTGTTTATAAGAAAATATAATTTTTTCTTGAATTTTGTATTTTCGCGAAACTACATTTAATAAAGATTATGCAACTTGGTCTAATTTTGAGGTAAACACCCAACCGGGAGTTGAGCAACGTGAAACAAAAATCTGTTTAAAAAAATAAAATTCTATATAAATTTGACCGAATTCGGTTGATCAGTTAACGTCTCTTTTTCAAATTACCAACGATGAATAACACAGAAAACGCCACCGAAAAACAAGATACCATTGATGGCACAGACAGCACTACTTCTGGCAATGACAATTCAAAAAAACCACCCAATGATACAATAGAAGGAGTCCTAGATTCCTCGGACGCTATCACGGGTTTAACCCAATCAACAATAACAATAGTTTCGGATACTGTTGCTTCTCTTGGGTCAACAATTGAGTTACCTTTTACTAAATTTTTTCCATTGATTGGAGATGTAGCTAGTATTTTTAGAGAGCTGGTGGATATTTATCAAACTGCTGAGCATAACAAACGTATCTGTGGTGTTTTGTTGGATAGGGTTTGTTTGTATTATTGCCATCTGTTTTATTTATTCAAACCTTCTCTGTGTATATTTATTTTTATCAAAATATATTAATTAATATTTATTTAGGTCGGTGCCGCAGAAGCTGCTGTTCGAAACCTAGATATTCGGAGGGATGACAATAGACAATTCTTTACTGAGAGAAATTATATAATATTTCGAAAATTTATTGGTGTAATTAAACGAATAAAAAATTTTGCCAATGAAATTTCACAAATTACTGGGCTTCGGAAATATCTTCAGGCAAAATCAATTAGTCAGACTTTTAATGAATTAACGACTGACTTTGATGGATATATGAGGTCGTTAAGCTTTTCGATTACTATTGAAAATCAAATTCAGGCAGAAAAGGACAGACAAGTTTTGAAAGAAGATACTGAAGCTTTGAAACAGGTTGATTAATCAATATATTATAGCCCAGAAATGATTATTAATGTTATCACTAATTAGGTTGTTTTATATTAGTTCTTGGATAAAATCGATGGTGGTATTACAGATATGGATCACAAAATTAATATAGTAATAGAAGAAGTTTATGCGCTAAAAAGTACTTTTGAGAGACAACAGAAGGCTCATCATGATCAATGCCCAATTACTGAAATAGTCGCTGACGAACTTCTAAAAGCCGAAGACTATTTCCCTCCAGAAACAGTCCGTGGAAAAGTAGTAAAGCGAACTCGAAGAGCTGATATGGTTAAACTAGCCTTTAAAGAAGTATCAGTCCAACGACTTCCTCATGACATGCGTGACAACATACATGCACAAGTGACTATTCTTAAGCGCATAAGAGACTCCCAAGAAATAACCAGATTCTTTGGCCTTGCCAAAGAAAACGACCTGCTATATTTAGTAACTGAATGGGCAGAATTTGGAAATTTAAAAGAATATTATACAAAATATCAAGTTGATTTGGATTTGAAATTAAATTTTGCTCTTGAAGTGTCTCGTGGCTTGAATTTTTTAGCATCTGTGCAGATATTACATCATGATATAAGATCTGATAATGTTCTAATAACTGTGGACAAACATGCAAAGATTGCAAATTTCGGGTTAAGTAGGGGATTTACTGATGCTACTAGAAATATTAAAGCTGGTATTCAGAATGTTCGATATATGGCCCCCGAGAAATTTCTCGATCCTAATTACAAATATGATATTAAATGTGAGGTATACAGGTAATATTAGTTATCATATAGTTTATAAATTTTTGCCTAAAAATACTAAATTTATTCTAAATGATAGCTTTGGTATGCTTCTTTGGGAGATTGCTGAACTAAGAATTCCATATAAAGACGAAACAGACATTTTAGTGATTCGCGATTTAGTTGCTAAAAACCATTATCGTGAAAGTTTTTCTCACGGTGGAGTACCCAAAGAATGGAAAGATCTTGTAAAAGGTTTGTGATTCCTAACTTTAATAATGATAGCCCATGATTTTACAGTATTATATTGAACTATTTATAATTTGTGAAAATAGCCGCGTGGAATCAGGACCCAAAATTCCGACCAGCCTTTACCGAAATGTTTTTAGTTCTTCAAAAATTACGTGAAAAAAATAGTCCACCAAGATGCTCACCTTCCCTAAGCCCGGACGATTCCATTGATGATGAGTTCAATGACCAAGCAATCCCCATTAATTTTGCCGAATTCGGTGATATATCCGTAGAAGAAGCAATAAAGGAATACCGTAGTAAGAATGGCAATAAGCAAAATGCTTGGAAGTGCTTCGAGGCACATGCGAATGCTGGTGACATCACTGCTAAATATTGGAAAGCCTATTTCCTTTATTATAACATTTTAAATTGGCCAGAGTCCACACGTAAAGAACGATTTGAAGAGGCTGCAAAGCTTTTTAAAGAAGCAGCTGACGGGGATATGGAAGAGGCACAATTGAGATATGGAAATTGTTTGTTTAAAGGAGAGGGTACACCAAAGGATATGGCTAAGGCTGCAGAATATTTTAAGAAAGCGGCCGATAATGGAAATCTAACCGCTATGTACAATATTGGAAATATTTATTATCATGGATATGGAGTAAAGAGAGATCTTGTAGAAGGCGAAAGATTTTTAAAATTGGCTGCTTATCGTCAACAAGCTCTAGCTGTGAAAATGTGTAAACAAAAGAATATTGTATTATAGCCCCTGTATATTTATTTGTATTGTAAGGAATATAAACTTTTATGTTTAGGGACATGTCTGAGATCAATTTACTATAGAGCTTACTTTCTTCCTCCCATCTAAGAAATTTAGTCATTCTGATTGGTCATATGTATATATTTGGTCCTGAGATTTTGTCTGCCTTTCTTCAACCCTATGATATCAGCTGATATCTGGCACTTGCCTCATTATAATGATAATTTTTAAATTTCGAAGTTTTTTAGCCAATTGATGTTCTAGATATCATAAACAATTGGTGTTTGTAACAAATCAATGGCATATTTAATTGAATATATTGAGCAACACTAATGTAAAAGTTTTTTTTTGCTGTTTTGCCTCTGTACAATATTTCGATTATGTTGTTTTATAATCTACAATTTAATATAGTATATAAATATAGCTCTATATATAACATAGCAAAATTATAATATTATTATTTAAACTATTGAAAATATATAAAATCCCCATCATGTACTATACCTTAATGTATTTTTTTCAAAGATCTAGACAACAGCAGAGACCGTTGATGTTACACGTATATTAAAACAGGTGAGGGATTATATCCATCACAATTGAATTCAACATAAATAATTTAATTTGTGATTGATCACAGGCGAGAGGGATTCACTTTGGATTGGGCACTATCTCTGCTGTAGATCTAGACTGCCTACACAACACTCAGCTGTATATTAGATCCGGAATCTATTATAGGTTTTAAAATTGGTAGAATATACATATGTCATCGGGCTTTCAATTATTGAGTGCCGTCTAAGAAAAATCTATCAACGGGCTTTCAATTATATTTGTGACAAGTCATTACAAATATAATCGAAGGTCCGATGAGATTTTCCCTGGATGGCACAACAGGAGGAACCGTCATTCCGCTAGTACATATATGCTGCACACCGGGTGAAAAATCATTAGTGTAACATCGACGGTTCCTCCTGTTGGATGGCACTCAGAGAACAAGCCGGATGCAAAATATAATTGAAAGCCCGATGACAGGACGGCACGCATGTAGGTCTTTTATAGCATACGGATTATGACGCGATATCTCATGACCTATTCATTGATCAGAATCGGATGATTTTATCATCAGTCGATGAAAGAATCTAATGACGCGTTTTGATCACTGGATCGTGAGTAGAGATGCAGACATTTTTCAGGTTACTCTATGAAATTGGATAGTTAATCGTGAGATATTATTTATTTATAGTCGTTTTCAAAAAGGTGGAACCAGGTGAGCACTATTATTTGTAGGAAATCGCACGATTTCCATGCTAATGGTAAGCAATTTTTATTAGGAAAGATCTACCAAAATTTTATGGTATGTAGATTTGATTCTTCTATTTGAGTGCTGCTAGGGATGAATCGGTCTAAGCAGATTGCAAGTTTTATAGATCATGTTTTCTTCGCGAGCCATTAATTAGTACTTATTTATTGAAATAGTGGCAAAGCTTCTCAAAAATTCAACAATTTTCAAAATGTAAGGGTTAGAACCGGTCTTGGGACCGATTTAGAACTGATACAACTCTACTCGTTAGAGTAGGTCTGCCATTATTTCTCAATAGGTAATTACTATTAAAATTTTGTCTTAAATAACTTTAATTAGTGGCTTACGAAGAAAAGATGATTTCAAAATCCTACAATTTGCTTAGGAACGTCAGAACCGATCTATCACTAGGTGCTGCCAAGGGAAAATGGTCATTTCGGGCTATTAAGTACAGGGTTGGCAGCCTTCTATGTCTGATGAATTTTGTCAGACACTAGACATATAAATTCGTCCGGTGTCCATTGATCTATTAACACATATAGAGTAAAATTGGCAGTATATTACTGTTCTAATTATTTTGTTTGCTTGACTATGAATAGAGGTTTCTTGTTTCAAAAAAAAAAAAATAGCCAATTTTAGAAATTTAAATTTCATCGGACAACCCACTTGTCCGATTGCCCAACCCTGATTAAGTATATTATTGATTATTTATCTGATTCAACCCTTTTGATCGGTGACATATTGGTTTACAATTTTTAAACAAATTTTTGAAAATTATTTTATTTTAGTAAAATGCATAAATTAAATAGGTCAAAAAAATTTTTGATACCATTATTTTTTAAATTATCTAGTGATCAAATATGTTTGAAAATATTATTTTATGTTTTTTTTATAATTAATTTGTGATAAATAATCAATTAATTTGAAAATAGTAAAAATAATACTTTTATAATTTTTAGAATCTACATGTTTTTTTTATAAAAAATGATAAAACTTAAAAAATATGTAGTTATGCTTATTTTACTTGGAGGTATTATTTAAATTTTATTTGTTGAATTATTTTCTTGAAATTGATGGTTTTCACATTCAGACGATAATTTATCTTATTTGGTTTTTTACTTTATACATGATGGAATAAAAATTTTTATAGATTATAGTAGCTCAAAATATTGAATTTAAGCTTGGTTATATTTGTCAATTAAATAAAATTTATAATAAAATATGTGAACATTTAACTATAGCAATAATTTTTGTTTATTAATATATATTTTTTATAACAACTAAATATGCAAGATTTTTAATAATAAGTTTTGATAAATATATAATTTTAAATTAATTATTTTTTTATATTATATTTTGTTTTGTTTAAATTTGACAAATTAAATTGTTAAGTTTTAATATTAAAAATTAATAATTTTAAATAAAATTATATAGAAATAATAAAATTTTTATTTATTTAAAATTATCAAAATACAGTCAGACCTCATTATAGTTACTCTTAATATAGTTACAACCTTGATATAGTCATTCTGTTTTTTGTTTTTAGCTTATATAAAACATATAAATTTTGACTTTCATATAGTCACAACTTTTTATAATTACCAATTTTTTGTTTCCAAACCTGGTGATTATATCAAGGTCTGACTGTAATAAAGTATTATTTGTTTAAAAATTTAAAAATAATAAGGTTATAGTTCAAGTATATTAAGAAATATAAGAAATAGCAATATTTAAAAATATTAGTTTAAAACAGTTTGGCAACAAATTATAATTTTATCTTAATATACTAAATTAGAATTTTTTGAACTAATATAGAAAATTAGGTTTAGATTGCAAATTATATATCTGAATCTTTATTCTTTATATATAATTTAAAAATAAAGTTTTGTAAAAACTTTATTTGAATTTCAATAAAATTAAAGAAATGGTTTTACTTTTAATATTTTTTAAAAAGAACTAATATATAAAATAATATATAAGATTATTAAAAAAATTATATAATATACTTCATTAAATTAGAATAATAAAATTTTAAAAGTATTTTAATATTACATATTTAAAATTATCATAATTATTTAATATTAATTGATATAAATTTTTTTTTTTAGTACATATTAAGGTGATTTTTTGGGTCTTTTAACTTTTTTTAATAATAGTAAATGTGGTTTAGTAAACTATTACAGAAAGAGTATACAACTAATTACATGTATAACTTTTCTATATTACCTATTTAAGAAGTTCATCTGAAGGTTTTCTATTAATTACTATACCTAATATCTCTGCTTGGATATTCTACTTTAAACTCTCTGAACTTGCAAACCTGTTAACTTCACTAGATCATACCTGATATTCAAATCATTATTTCAACCTTAGAACTATTTTATTCTCAAGATAAATTATTCAGAGCCTTCTGTACTTATTTTTACAACTGACCTAGATATTGCTATAACAGAACCAACATTTTTTTTTTTTTTTTTTTTTAACCTTTGGCAGCTATGATGGTTAATCAGTCAGAAGTTTATTTATAAATGTTTAGTACAGACAATATACAAATAGAACTATATCTAACTCCATATGCCAT